TTTTACGAACTTATCTCTGCGAATATGTATGAATGTCTTGCAAATGGCTGATTGAGTTGTTTTACTGCATCGTTTGCATTTTGTATTTTCTGTTAGATACAGCGCAGCTTAGGTACGAACAATCAGATTCTTATACACACAAAGAACGGTTTTGCTAAGATCTAAAAATTTAGTTAAGTATAGATCTGAAAATAATTTTATTAAACCATCAAAAACTAATTGAAGATATATCGTTCAAGTTGATTGCCAGAATGTAAAAATTTTTTGCAACATACTCATTATGTACTTGAGTATTCTACGTAATTATTTTGATGATCCAACAAAATTATTTTCAGGTCTAACTAAATTAGTAGATATCGTCAGTAAAATAATTCTTTTTGTGTAGCGAAAAATTCCTACACACGTGACATGTTTAACATATACGAATCAGATAAAAAATCCAGATGCAAAAATATATATTATATATTACGTTCATCAAACCTCTTGTATTCAACCTTGATTCCATTTTTAAATTTTCAAAGTTTATCGCATCGTCAATCCCGCGCACTCGAATTTATGGCGCTTTTACGGCGACCTTGAATCTCTGGAGTACGGAAGCGCGAAAAAAATCGAAAAATAAATCTAGCTTAAACTTAGTCCTATACGCTTTCATTTGTTTCGTGAAAATTTCACGCCACGATATTGTGAAACAGATGATTACCGGAACTCGTTTCACCCAACTAAATCTTTTTTCTTTCGAATTACCTCCGACGTGCAAAGTCTGAGAACGTTTATCTGTCTCGAGGTTTACAGAGAATCGCTGAGAAGGTCAGCTGTGTCTTTTCCGACGCTTACGTACCATGCAAACGCAACCCGACTGACCCACTGTGCCCACGATTCTTGCTGACATTTCGTAATCGTCACCACTAGTCGTATATATTTAGCGTTACGTTACGCATGGCCATCGTGCGGGAAAACGGGACAGCTGTAGTAGGTTCGCTTGATACCGTTCAAGCCTTGCGACTCAGCTGATTGCCAGCCTACCGCTGGCAAACTGCATATGCGTTGTAACTACGTGCCTAATCAATGTTCTATTTACTATTATCTTGGCACAATTTTCATTTCGCTTGGCTCATTTAATTTGTCCACTAGAATGTAACTAACTTAGAAAAGCACCTAAATACGAAAATACCTATTTTTATATGTCCACTCGTATATTTGAGCCTTATATTTAATTTCACGCTGTTGGATATTAAAGGAGCAACTCATTCACTTGAGTTAAATAACATTTTATCATTTTGAACTTTAATCCATTTCTGTGGTTCAATCGCTTACTTTCAAAGACAACAATCGTATCATTCGTATATATTATACTCACAAAGTAAACAATATACCTACATTAAATCCTTATATTTTACAATTTTAATATTGTTTTTATTCGCGAGAATTATATAGAGATAATACGCTAACATTTGGTTGTTTTATGTTTGTAATGTTTGACGTATTATACGTCTACGTTTTGAGATTCTCATGGTTTGCAAACCTTCGTCCCAGACAATTTCCGCTCTGGATTTGTCGATTTCTCGGACTTCGCTTTCGGCGGTCATATTAAAACACCCCTATCTTATGAATCGAAATACATCTGCAACCAGCGTGAAATTACACAAACGTAGAGAGTGAATCTTGGCTCGTACAATTGTATTCCACTTACGACTTCCGTAAATCGTAAAAAACCCGTGTTTAGATCCACGCATGTGGCGTTTCACTCTTACTTTTTCATTTTATTGCCGGTCAGACGTATGCTCGATTTGTAAGTAGCGTGATTTCACGGACGATTCTAAAGCGCCCGCGTTAAGCAACACGCTGAGGAAATACGCAATCGTTATCACGTATAAATTATAAAATCCCGCACGTGTGGAAATAAAAAAAAAAAAAAACATCCGCGGATTCTACCCCTTAGACTTAAAGCGCTCGTAAAGCACTCCATCGAAATACATTTTCACGCGAGTCGTGTTTCGAGTGCGATACTCGCAATCTCGACGGGACAAATTGATTCCGATTGCGTACATATAATACTTATCTTTTCATTGCGTGCGCAAGACTATCCGCAAGAATAACGCGTCAGGGTGTTATCCGCGTTTCTCGCGGCGGACTCTTGTCTTACGACAGAACAAGGCGAGTCTCAGAGAGACGTGTCCACTGACCGTTGCGGACTTTCGCGACTCCCGGTATCCCGTTGATAGAGCAACGCGCCTCCGTCACGACTCCAATGCGCCCGTAACGCGGTGCAATGCACGGGGTCTTGCTAGAGACCCTCTCTCTCTCTCTCTCTCTCTCTCTCTCTTTGTTTCTTTCTTATGCGCGCGAAGCCACAGAGCGGAGAAAGTTAATTTCGCATGGCCGTTGAACCGATATATACGCTTAGGGGAAGCGGAGAGTAACCACGAGTTAGACACGGTTAGACCAATTTGCTACTTCTAGGCCAGTCACGTCTTATTCGATCCGTCTACTTGACGTCGATCAACGAACGCCTCTGTTTGCGCATTCAAGAGAATCGCTCGCGAATCGAAACTAGCACATCCCGAATTAAACTCCTCGCGATCTGACGTACGTCTACCGCGGTTTTGTACCACTCCTTGCACATCGTTAGGCCGCGCGTAAAGAAGCGTGTCCAAATTTCCGGCGAAATGATGAACGAACACTATAGCTTTCGCGATGACGTTTCGTTCGTAATATCTATTATATAGATGACTTCCTTGGTATATAATAATGTGGAGACTTCCTTGAAACTATACATTAATAATAATAGATTCCATATTATTTCAATGAAAACTTCTTGTATTGCTTCTCCTTTTTTTTTTTTTTTTTTAAATATATACGATTTTATTTTCATACAAACGTTTTCTTTTCCTTGGACCAATTATGAGTGGCCCGAATTCAACTGAAAATAAAATCTTTCGGAAAAATATTATAGAAGCGAAAGAATATAAACTTGTGCATGTTACACCGTCCATTTACAACGATGAATATTTATGTAGGTCGTATAGAATTTGAATTAATTATGCGAGAATTGCTTTCCACAACAGCTCGCCGATACAAAACATAACGTAAATTAGTAGAACGTTTCGAAACATATCGTGATGTATCGTAATGTTTTTCTTATGTAAACGCAATCGCAATTTGGCGTGTATGCGTCTAACAAAAAACGAAAATGACGCCTTACGTGTTACATGACTCTCGCCAAACTATAACGTAATAGTTTTCCATTTTGCGAGCGCGCTCGTGATCTTATAAACTCTCACGAGTCGCTAATCTATTATACGGTCACGATTATATTTTATCAATTCCAGGACTTTGTGGCAGAGATACCGCACACGTGAACGACGTGATGTATGTATAATAGAAAACATCTCGCTTTTGTCGGCAGACAATTCAACACGGGTTTGGATATCTTTAAATCATGTCAGACACTCTACTCGCTTGTTATACTTTCACGAATAGAAATGCAAAAGTCTCTTCTCGATCTCCTGATAATAACGGGAATACCTTTGATCGGGCGCATTAAAATCTGGTATTCGCGGCGTTTTGCGACACGTGGTTGAATGGCGGTCGCCCATGCATAGTAAGGACGCATCGAATGACCGAGTCGCCGTATATAGCACGCATAGAAAGACCGATTGTGAAGACGAGGCAATCCGACTACGCATTAATAACCGTAATAGATCGGAAAGCTCGTCCAAATTACGTCGTTGTCGCAACACGTATCATCGCCGCGCTCGAGAAATCGCGATATGTATGGAAAGTCATTGAAAAGCTTTTCTATGACGCGATATTCGTTAAACACGCTCCAGATAAGATAGTATCACAACATTCAAAGTGACACTAAAGAGAGCTTTACGATATTCACGAGAAGATTATTTAATATGATGATGACAGAATTAGTTTCAGAATTGTTAAACACCAGAGTACCTTTTTGAAAAAAAAATTAATTCGTTTCTAATTACGTTCCGATTTCTAAAAGAGGGTCCCAAGACAGATTCAGGATCCTGAAGAGGATTTTAACTATCTACTTGATGAGATCCTTTTATTCGAGTCGAACTCAACTTTTAGAGTATCGAAATATATTTTTTTTCTTTGTACATTCATGCAGCTGCAACAACAATCGTTAATTTTTCGTCACGGATGATTTTTCTTAGAATAGATTTGCCGATAGGACAGGTTCAGGATTATCTCAAGCTGTCTCTCTAGATACTAGTATGCGTGGGCGAGTGTCGAGACGCGACCACGAAGAATCGTTTTGTCGACTGCTAGAGAACCGGTACTGGTTCTTGGCCGCTGCGCAAAAAGACAATGGCGTGACCTTAGCGGATATGGCGAGACCAGATTCTACATGTCTCGAGGATGACCGGCTCCAGAGGTTTTTCCTTATCCCTTTTCCTTCCTTTTATATTCTCGCGGTTATAGCGGCGATGCTTTGTGTTATTTGGCCGACAGCGTGCACATTTGCTTGCACATATTTGTATTTTCATGGTCACCCTAAGAAACAAGATTTATTTTATAAAATCGAAATCTCTGTGTAATCTCATCTTTCGTCTTTAAAATGGACCGCTTCGATCCTTCTCAAAAGTTATCAGAAAATAACGTATCCGCGATTTATTAGATGCGACAAATATTTGCTCTCTCGTAATTACTGCATTTAATATATAAAAGTGTATTTGTCATTTCAGCCATTATTTTATTGAAGAAAAATCAAAGCTAAATGGAAAAAAGTAGTACCGTTTCTACTTAATAAAACATGCTATAGCAATTCCATAAAATTACTCAGTATAATAGATTATTTGATATTTATGAAAATAATACTTGAACGTCAAGAGTGCAAAAGTTTTAAAGAAGTACGAACTGTAAATGTGAAGACACATATTGATAGAGAAATCAAATCTTGAAGTTGCAGGCATTTCAATAATATTATGTATATTACATAAATTTTCAGGCAGATAAATAAGTTTGTTATGGTGTTTTAGAATGCTGTAAAAATGCCGTCGTTGTTGGAAGCGCTGGAGCTAAAATACGGCAGTTCAACGACAGATTGCTCATTGACAGACGATGAGGCGGAGTCTGGTTCGCCCAAAGCCGCCCTGTCGGTGAGCATCTTCATCCCTAAGAAATCTCCACGACATACGGTGCCGGCGTTACTGGTACTCCAGGACTGCGACATTGAATCGGCAGGTAATGACGCCGAGAAACTACGCAACAAATGCAAAAACGTCGAGGAGCTTGACTTGGCGCAGAATAAGCTGTCGCAATGGACGGAAGTATTCGGCATCCTGCAGCACATGCCCAAAATCAAGTTCGTAAACTTGAGCTTCAACTGCCTCGCAGAGGTGCTGGAGATCAAACATGGTAATTATGATCTTCTGAGAAACCTCGTGCTGAACGGCACCAGAGTGTCCTGGTCGACGGTGCAGGGACTGGTACGGCTTCTGCACAATCTGGAAGAACTCCATTTGTCTTTGAACGAATATAAAACGGTGGACTTGGATCATCAAAAGCAGGAAAACGTGAATCCGGCGCTGAAAAAATTACACTTTACCGGTAATCCAGTGGAAGTTTGGAACGAGATCTCGAAATTAGGGTAAGTCTCACGTGATTTTAATGCTACTGATTGAAAAATTGAATTAGATTCTTTAATTACAAAATAAAATTCCTGAGTCGTAATAGTCGTATAAGTTATTATTCTGAAAGATTTGACATTGGTGTCGTATATTTCTCCAGGTACCTATTTCCGAACCTGAAAAGCCTTGTCCTCGCCGAGTGTCCAATCAGATCACTCGGTTTGGAGGAAAATCAAAATTTGCCGAGTGAGGATGGCCGTCGAGCAAAGGAAGAAGGCCTTGGTCAGGATAGCGAAAACATGAATCACTTAGATACAGATGAACACACTTTGTCGACAGACGATAAGGGAAATAGAATATTTGAGAGCAAGGTGAACTATGACAGATCCGAGTCGAAGTCAGAATCCAATGGAATGACTATCGAGTCGTCTCACGATCCCTTTAGAATGCTGAGGTTCCTGAATGTAAACGGTACTCTGCTATCCACTTGGGACGAAGTCGAAAGGCTGGCCAGGTTTCCTGCGTTAAAATCGCTCAGGATTCAAGGCTGCCCGCTTTTCGAAGTAAGTGGTCTTCGACTTCTTCGATGATTAAAAATTAAGAAGTTTTGCATTACGTTAAGAAACATTTTCGTAAATGTATTTTGAGTCTTTTGCATGTGACTCAATTAAAGAAAACTAATAAGTGAAACAATGTCGTGTTTAATATATCATAAACAATATTTTTACATTTTTAAAATGTATAATATATTAAAATTACTACTAAAATTACTTTACTGCATTACAAATTTATATACGTAAATATTAAATAAAAATATTACTTACAATTAGAGTAGGTATAACTTAAACCTTTGTATTGCTTTTTTTAAATACAAAGCAAAAGAGAAATTTTAGGAAGACAAAATAGAAATCAACAAAAACAGTTATGAAATAATTGTAGATATTAGTTCTTGTTAGGAATAATATTCGTTACTACGACGTAAGATAAATTTATCTCATGAAAGATCAAAATACACGAAATATGATACTATGTAGTTCTGAAAACAATGGCTATTTTCATTCTCAAAGTGCATCAAAGAATGAAATCTGAACACACTAGACGAATTAGAGACACGTGTTAATTCCTCACATCAAAACTACGACAGACGTTAACGGTTACACGAGAAATAACGCGTTCTAGTAAAAGGTCGTTTTGTGTGGACATATGCAGCAATTGAATCTTGGCACGTGGTCAAACAGGCTGATGGATTAATGCAATGTGAGTTCCAAAAACAAGTTCTTGGAACTTGGAATCAATACACTCTGCAAGCATCCTATATTGCACTTCTAAACATGGTCGTGAAGAGAATTTGATATTAATAGACGATGCGTGAAATAAAAAGAAACCGCTGGTTTATGGTTAGATTAGATACTTAAATTTTTTTGTGATGTGTGTGTTTCTATTTTAAATACAAAGTAAAAAAAATTAGGAGATAAGAATTTATAGAAAATAGTTATAACGCAATAGCAGTACTAACAGCACTAGAATTTGTATACTGATTATGAAGCCTTATTTTGAGATGGTTGAGAAATGGTTAGATAAATCAACACGTCATCGTGCTAATTAAAAGTGCGTAACATGGTAGCCTTCGATTCAATGAAAAACCATTTACCGCGGAATATATTCCCTATTCTTTAAGTTGGTGACGATTTATAATTGCAATCTCGTTATTATATTTTTCAATTGAAATATTTTTATTGATATCTTTACAACGTTATTCATTTATATTATTATATTAAAGAAAATCGATATTATCATGATATTGAAACGCACCTATAAAAATATTAAATATGTTCAAAAATATGGATATAATTAAAAATATTAAATATTTTCAAAATTTATTTTCAAAATGTAAAATCTACAATTTTTATTTTAATTAATTTAAATTGATATATATTTTTTTATACAACTTAACTTTTTCTATACTAAATATATCTTTTATACAACTTAATTCAACTATGTTATTTAACTTGATCCTCATCATATTTGCTTGGCTATCCATCTATACTAAATATCGGCCACTGCTTTATATTCGTTTAACATTTCCCAGAGTCCACGAGAATATACAGAACACGAGAGGCGGCAGCTACTAATAGCCCGACTGCCAAACGTCGAGACTTTGAACGGTGGCGGCGTGATATCGTCTCAGGAGCGCGAGGACGCCGAGAGAGCCTTCATTCGTTATTACATGGACAAACCGGAAGCTGATCGGCCCGAAAGGTAAGTCTCGATGCTCGCCAAGTTCGATCTTAATCGTTTTTTTTTTTCTTTGATAATTAAGACTCGCGTAAAACCAATCTCAAATATTTTTTCGAGAGGCGCTATAAATTGCTTTTAATACACTTTTAACATAAATTCCAATTTTCTCTCGAAAAAGCCTTATTCAGGCGATTCCAATTTCGCCAAAAGTATTGGACTATTCTTGTTTCATGGCCGCACTCGTCCCCTTCCCGCCCGAAGGAGCCCAACTTGACCCTCTTATGTGATTTTCAGGTATTCCGAGCTCGTGGCTATTCACGGAAAGTTGGACCCCTTGGTGAACGTAGATTTGACACCGGAGAAAAGGGTCAAGGTCACGTTCACTTACGGAGATCTCGTTGAGGTATTTAATTTCATATATCATATCAGATTTCATCACTTTAGACAGGTGTATCGCGCGTAACGGTGAACTTTCACTAGTTCCATAATTTTGCCCGAACACGCAACTCGAAAAATAATCAAGTCTGTACAAGTATTTACTTTTATAATTATTCGTAATATAATATATACAGAAAAACTTTCTGAACTATATATATATTTTATTTAATGAAAATGATGGTCACAAACAATTCGTGCTTTCAGGTACGATCGGTTGATGTATATAGAACAGTTTTCGAATTAAAAACTAAGTTGGAAAGTATGGTGAAAATTCCTGCCAACAGAATGAGGCTTTTCTACGTTGATCAAGTGAGTTGTTTTGTTCTGTATTAACTAAACGACTTTAAATATTGTTTGCAGAATATTTGGCACCTCGATCGATCCTTTAAAAAACCCGAAGTTACGATATGAATCCTATTATCTTCCAAACGATCCTTATCCTGATCTGCATGTAGTTTAAGAAGTATATTACAATATAAGGTACAAACGCGAATTTTCAATACTTATATAAAATTTTATGCAAATTATTAAGAATTTATCTACAACAAAATTAGATACCGCGTATTGTAGTATCAACGTTAAAGAAATTTAAACGAATTAATAATTTTAGGAAATGAAGGCGCAATATGGACCGGAGGAAATGCTGTATCCAAATAAGCAGCTCTATCGATACAACATTAGGAACGGCGATGAGATTATCATTGACAGTAAACTGAATCGATTCGCGTCAACGTCTTCGGCCACATCTTCCATTCGTTCCTGAAGAAGAACAACGAGTGAATCGCGCGGTATTGAAGAAATCCGATAACCCTTCGGGTTTTGATCTCCACTTATAGCCTCACGATGCAATACTCTTGCTGACGATCGTAACAATACTTCTTACAGATTAACAGAGAGGCACCGTGTACGGTTTTTAAGATATGTTAATAACAGCGGATCTGAAAACCGAGAACTTTTCCAAGGAGAATAAATGGATTCGAATGGGCGAATGTTTCCCTATGTGGAAGTCTAGATGTATAGAATTAGGGATTCACGGATGTTTGATGTTACCTTAAACTACAAATATTTCAGAAATAATAGACACTATATGATCAGAAATCATGAATTGGCATAAAACTTGATAATCTATCAGTCTATCTGCTATCAGAAGCGAAATTATCTAACAACGTCCCGTATTTTCTAAACGGTATGTCTAGACATTTTCTGAAAATCGAATTGCAACTGTCAATGCAATTTTTGATCGCAGTACATGATTGTCCGATGCGATTATTAGATAATTATTTCTTCGCAAACTCATCCAGACTTCGACGTATTAACTTAAACCGTTACTAACGAACCTGGTGCATAGAGAATAATTATTGTGTCCAGTGTACAAGCGTACACGAGCTTAGATGGGTAGTTAGCTGTCATTTTCTTTAACATAGTAAGTCTTGTCTGTCTTAGGAGACGAAGAGCGTAACTGGAAAACAAGATTGTACATAGCGAATTTCAATTTCCAGCCAAATTCGATGTAGCTGCGGCATGAGCAGAAAAGATTTACTCCGTTTGCTCGACGCAAAAAAAAAAAAAAAATAGGACCATGATAGAAGATCGTTCGATTCAACTTAGGACGACGCCAACAAGACGCGCCATTGAGGCTGTTGTGACGAAGAGAGCGAAATATTTTTGTAGAGATCGTGGGCAGTTATCTTCAAAGAAAGTAAAATCTATTCGTTCATGAGACAACGCGTTTTGTTGCTCCTCGTTTAAGCATCAATGATAAAAATGTTTAACGCAGTTGCAGCCACATTTTCGTCGCGCACGCGTGTGACTCTTTCGTACGACACGTAAAAGGCAAGGAGAGACCTTGCGTGAAATTTCCAAATGTTTAAGAGCAATGGGATATATTTATGTCGCTGATTCGCGAAAGCGTCATCCACTTACGTTGTCATCGCGACAAATGATCTCTGTATTTTCCGAAGATGATGTATACTTACAAGCAAACTCTTTCTTCTGTAAACTTTGCGCGAGATTAAAACACACTCGTGTCACCAGCTCGTAAATTGCAACGTAAATTATAACGAAACATGAGAGAAAATTTGTGAAACTGTACAAGAGTATGCGATTGACGTTACGTTATTATCATTTATTTTCTCAGTATGTACTTAACAAACTACAAGTACAACATTTTCACTTCGACAAGTTCCATATCTTCAAGCGGTATTTTATATTTATATATATATATGTATACTTCTTTTCATTCTGAAATATTGAGGCGTATATGGCGGAGTAAATAAATTCCTAGCAAACACAAATATAACTAGTATATAATATATACGTAAATATACATGTTTTACATCTATATTATATAGCAGTTACATTCGTTTGCTAAGTTGTATATTATCGCAATTGTTTCATCACAAAATGGATGAATGAAAATCACGTTGACGACAGCGATAAAGCTGATATAAATCTCAAACGTGATGACAAAGGCAGCATCGATTGCGATTTATGATACATGCGTATAATTTACAGATTCATAATCGTTTAGAATCTCGAAAGTATATCTTTTCTTTCCCTTCCTAAATGCTACAAGCATGTCTCGTTCCATTTACAGCTTACCTCGATTTAAGGCACGAACGAGCTCACGAAAAGAAGCTAATTGTAAGTAGAATGTTGCGTTGCATCGCTTTGTCTTTGAATCCGCCAGTATCACCGATGACAACTTTTCGGCCGAACGTCGGAGAAAGAAAACGCGGTGTATATCAAGTTTCGATTTCTTTGCTCACAAGCAACGAAGCTTGCGGAGTCACTTAGTGCCTGTCTTTTACGTATTAGCGTAATTCAAATATTTCTAACACTGCCCTGTGAATATGATAAAATATAATTCGGGACGACAAAGCTCTCGATACAATAATAAGAAGCGTAGACCGAATTTTTGGAGCAGCTAAAACTCTCCAGTTGACCAAGATTCATAAAAAAATTTCATTATTTTTGTACAGCGTTTTAATAATATTCTAATTGTATTAATTAATTATTAGAAAAAGCAAATGTTTTGATAAGTATTTGATGACAAAAGATGTATACAAACTTAAACGCTTTTTTGATTGCGATATATTGGGATCAGTTGAATGTTACTGTGAAATAATATTGCTACTGAAGAAATTCGGTCGGACGTTTCCTGGAGATCGAAGGAGCACCGCGATAGTCAGGAAAATGTTGACTATAGGATCCCAATGCCACTGTCGCGTCCTGTCTTCGACATAAAAAGTCGTTTAGTAAACAACAGAAAATGAAAATCAATCATAAAGGAGGACAAGGACGGACTAGTAATGGGATCTTACGACGCATGTGTCTAGTCTCGGAAAAGAAACTCTGCATTACTTTCATTTTATAAAATACGATTTTTTTGTGCTGGCGCAAATGTACGTACTAACGAAATAAATCATTTATATGATATAAAACTATTCTTCAATTTTTATCTCTACTTTTTTAAAATACACTTCTGATAACTATTATTAAAATATTTTCACAAAGGACGATTGGATCAAAGACATTGACAATTATAAATTCAGAATCTTTAATTCATTAGGTTTAGTGCTTTTATTTAAATAAATTTTTGGAACATATTATGCATATATATGTATGTATGTATATATATATATATATTACACGCTCTATTGTAAAATAACCGTTGTAAATCTAAAAGTCGTAAAAATTTGGGCATCTGTCCAATTGTCAATTCAAATCGAAACAATCGGATTACGTTAAGAATAAAGATAAATTATCACGGATAAAGGAAGGGACGGCGGGAATGTGTATAATACATGAACGTGTTTATTCACAACCGTTACCATAAACGAGCCAAAGATAATTTTACAGTTATTAAACTACGATCTATCACAATGGATTCTCTGTCTTTTTCCTTTCCTCCCCATTTCGAATGTATAGAAATATATTTAGGTAAACGCTAACGCTACTTAAAATTAATCACGTCTTACTTGACGCAACGGCAGATTTGCAATATTTGCACATCTATACATAAAACGTTATGGTATGTATGTACATAGGTACAAGCTAGATTTCTCGTAATGGAAAACATGAATCAATATTTTTGCTGGATATGTCGTAAAGGCGTAAAGCTAGATCTACGTACGATTTGGTCCGATCTTCCGTAAATCTGATCTTCGAAAATATTTAAACTATCTGGTTAAGCGACTGTCAATATGGCCAAAGCTAATCACCATAATTGTAATGTAATTTTAAAGTGAAACTGTAGAAGACACCGGCATTCAAATCCAACATTAAAAACCATTAGTAAGTACAATATTGTACGTACGAGTTCCAATTCACATTATTGGAAGCATTGTACTATAAATACTAGGGATATTACTTCAATATCCTTATTAAATTAATTCTTCTTTTAGTTTAGCAAATGCTCTAGCTATGAACTAATATAGCCTTATTTGTACTCTTACTTTTCTAGAATAATGTTATTATATTAATTTAATAATAAAGTACATCAATTTTCAATTTTATTGCACTATATTATTAATGGAAATATTTAGGGATAATTCCGCCACTTCCCATCTAAGCGCGACTTTACCGGTCGCATGCGTCGTAGAAAAATATAGGAACGATGGAAGTGACATAAATCAACATGTCGCGAAATGACAGATACGTGCCGTTTCGCAATTTTGATCTATAATTTTTTACGTCGTACAGAATAATAACGTCCAAGGTAACTAACATTCGATACAGCCCATCAAAACTGATTAATGACTCTCAAGCGCTGCATATTCTCACCGCCTCAAGATATACATCGGGCAACAAAATTTGCTGCACGGTAATTAGAATACGGTTGTCTCGGACGTGTAAGTACTATTGCTCAAGCAGAGAAACTTGCTCATGTGCTTCACCGTCGGAAATGCTAAATGTCTCGATTCTCTTTCCTGGATGGGTTATCTTCTTTTGTCATAGCTTCGTATGCTTTACACTGTCAGTCCAATAATTTTGTATTGTCATTGCTTCTAGAGAATTTAGGAACGAGTCGTTATCCAAACTGTACATTTCCTCCGAGTTATCCTGCAAGAGTAAACAAGTACTTTTATAACATTTTTAACAAATCAAAATTTTATTACTATTTTTATCTTTTAACTAATGTATAACAAAAAAATATTAATACATTAAAAATATAAATAAAAAAATAAGTGTTCTTTAAATATATTAGAGATTTAAATAATAATATTAGAACTCCAAAATCACAAAAATTTAAAAGAATGAATTAAAACGGGCTACTAAGGAGGTCAACGCGGAAGAGGATGTGCAAAAAAATATTCCAAAAAAATTAATATTTTTTATTATTTTAGTTCAATTTATTTAAAAATGAAAACCGTCTTCCGCGCTGACTCCTTAGCCCATTTTAATTCATATTTTTAAATTACAGATTGAATAATTAATTTAATAAATCCTACTAAATATTAAATATTTATAAATATTATAATACTAACACGAATAGTGGAATCATCGATGTAACCGGAGCTATCAGGATTGCTGCATTTATCACTGTTCAATGTTTGTGGAGGGTTCAAGTACTTGCGCCTGAAAAAAGGAGTTAATGAACGAATGCATTAGTGAACACAAGCGCAGATGTAATTAATACACATTACGACTTCACGATACATTACCTGTATATAATGAATCCGAGACTACCCACAGTGCTGAGCAAGACCACAGTCGCTAAACAGCTACCTGTAATAGCAGCTACACCAGCAGCGGATGTCGTCGAACCTTGCTCAGTACTTTCGCTATTATTACCTGTGTCGTTATAATCGGAGGGCTGATTGTCTCCTTGCACTTGATCTCTTTGAAAGTGCTGCGTGATGAAAGTATTCCTCGCTCTGCTCAGACGAGTGGACTCGCCAACTGCACATTTGTTTCATGCAATCATTATAAAGAATTTAAAGCGAGGTTTAAAATACTCAATTCTCTTTTTTTTTTATCGTTAAATCTTAATCAAGTTAACTCTGAACATTTTTGCATCTATTCTACTTCTATTATTTATTATTAAAATGTTAAATTTATAATCAGAGACTAAAACATAATTAGTAAGCATGTATATATAAAAAAGGAGATCAATGTCGGCATTATGAAAACAATTTAATTAAAATATAATGCAATTTTTTATCTCGCGCGAGATAACATTGTGGCCATTAATGGTCAAAATTAATCTCATTTTCATTCGCCTGTACCACATTTCTCTCTAAAGTTTACCTCCAAGGATAGACGCCGCTGTAGCGAAATGTTGCGTCTGAGCCACCTCCTCATCGATCTCGACCTCGTCCTCGGATTGATTAAACGTCCTGATCGCGGCATTACCAGCAGGCCCGGTCGAGGACAAGGACGTTACGAAAGAAGACCTTGTTCTGTTTAACGTCAGGTCAACCTTCGACATTTCTTCTTGAAGAGGTAGCACGGTGAGATCTTCGACTTCTTCGAAGCTAACGTTCCTGGCGACGCTAGATTGATTTCTCTCCTCCTGATCGTACTTCGGTCTACCTGACGATTTGTTAGTTGTCAGGATCCACGTGATCTTACTATCCTTTTTCGTCGAGTTCCTGATTCTATCGACGTTCTCCGCGACACGCTGCGGTATCGTCGTGTCGAGCGGTTCGACGTTGGAGATATTACCGCGGAAACTTAGCTCGACTGTCTCGTGGACACTCGTCTCAGAAACAGTACCTTTTCCACGTTCTAATAGGAACGAGGCGATAGTAGTGACGGATTGCTGCCTCTCAGGCACCACGGCTGTATTTGTCTGTGGATAAAGACCAATAGCCTTAGGGATTCGAAAAGTCGGTCTGACTGACTTCGACGTGCGATAGATATTTTCTCGATCCTCGATCTCGATCGTCGAGGGCGTCACCCTTGGAGATGACTGAGACTGGTTGACGGGATCCGACGTGGTAGACGGCAAAGGATTCCCAAAAATTACTGAAAAAGAAAGATGGAGTATGATAACATAAATGAATTACACAATCATTAAATCGTGTAATACCTCTTGTAACCAAAATTAAGTGTAAAAGCTTTATGCAAGTTAATTCTTCCTTAATTATATAAAATTTAATAGCATCCTTGTTTTTTAATTTCTTATATTTATATAAGTCCGTCTTTTTTCATTTATAATAAAATATTTCTTATTATTAGTAATTAAATTTACATTAAAATTATTTAAACTACGACTAATTGTGATTTAAATACATATAATATAAAATACATCAAAAAATTGTATCATACCTAATCATAACAAAAATGTTAATAATTGAGACTACATCTCTAAATCATTTGAACGATAAATAAGCAATCTAATAAAAAAGTAACTTTTTACAATATCATCCGGAAAAAGTGACCCAATTAAAGCAGAAGACTTTAAAAAGTTGTGCAAATTTTTTTGTTGATCTTAATAGAGTTAATGGAAGATAGTTAAAGGTAAAATAGTTAATAATAAAATAGAAGAAGATAGTTAAAAACAGTTAAGATAATTACTGATAAGTTGGAAAAAAATTTTACCGAATGAAAATGTTATTAAAAAGAAAAACAATTTAATGTGATGACTCACCAAGAAATTGCGCAGTAACCCAGAACCAATGCATCCACCAATGTAGCGTCATCGCGTCATCTGGATGTATCTGCAAATACGAAGGCACCTATATGTATACCAGCACGTCTATGTACACCAAACATACAAACGTGAGAAATCGTGCGAGCAATTCCAATATACCAAATATATCATTCTACTTTTGACGATTTTCTAAATCCGAACAAACGAATATTCGACTCGATCACCTCGTCGCTTCTGACTGAGAGAAGGTAATGTTAAAAACCGGTGAGTAATAGTCGACCAATCGTGTTGCTTAATCGTGAAATCTGTGAGTCATTGAAGAATTCTAAAACCAAGACCGGCGGTTACAGCTTCCAAGTATACGGCGAGATAACTGACAATGAGTAAAAGGAATTATGAAGTACCTTTAGCAAGCGGCTATTTGTCGTATACACGTGAATTCATTATTATCATTTCGAATTTAGAAATACAAATCGAGATTTTTATTTTATTTTCATGTAATCCGAACGCGGACAGGTGTCTTCCGTTTATAAAAATTTCGAAAAAAATGTCCATAATTTCAAGCCAGTTCAAAATGCTTGGAATCGACTCCTTCGTGATAACACCACTTGTCGAATTTTCGAGTGCGCACTAGCACGGTAATTTTCATGCCAAATAACGCGAGATGCAAGATTGAAATTATGGGCCTATGCCAGTGCCGCCGGCCGACCGGTTGAACGCAGATTCTCGTACGCAATCTTAAGTACCCCCAGCTACCTTTCGTATATAGTTAAAAAAAGCCTTCTGGTCCATTTGATAAATCCGAACGCAATTGAGATTCCACGGAAAATGATAACTCATGGTAAATGTAGTGTGTAAAATATAATACAAATTTATATATTTAGAATCGAAATCTCTAAAAATATTACAGACGGTACTTATAATCGGTTTTTATCTCAATTTTTAAAATGCAAATAATAATATCTTAAGATGCCAAGCTCAGTGATTGTTTTATAACATCTTAAGATTGCAAGACGGTCTTAAATATAGGAGTATACTATATGAATATATACTGATTTATATAATTTTTAACCTAATATAGTTAATTATATATGAAAATTAATTGTTAGCTTCAAAAGATAGTATATTATAAAAGTTTATAATTAAAAAAAGTTTATAAATAATATTTGAAAACTTGATTTATGAAAAAGTAATATTTTGCGGATGTTAAGATATCTAGGTGTATTTTTAATTTATTTATTTATGTGCAGAAAATATTCACCTGCAGTAATTAAAGTAATACAGTAAAACATCCGTAATGCGTTCATTTATGCGCCGATTTACGAAGTTTCGTGCGCTCAAAATGTAGTAGAAAGATGCGATCGTTAAACAGTAGAATATAGTGCGACGGTCATGCTCTGTTGACCGCAACCAGTTGCAACTTACGACGTGACACGAATAGGATATCGAGACTTTACTTAAAGATTGAACGACAATATTTTTCAATTTTATCACTGAAGTGATAAAAAAAAGTGTTCACATAAAACTGCATATAAATTATAATTTTACATGAAAATTTCATCGAAAAATAGATCGAAACTTCATTTAAAGTAAATTGAAGATATTACTTCAATATATCTATCCATATGCCAATATAAATCTTGTAATATATTCTCGATATTGCACAAATTCGTAATTCAAAAATGCAGGAAAATTGCAAATTTTAAAATTTCCAAATATTACAGTTATTAGTACAAATTTACATACAGATATTAAAAAGTTTTATTTATTCTTTTTGTAAACTAATAAATTAATATAAATCAAAACGTAAAATATTAATTCCTCATAAACATTGCAACATAACAACAAATAAAAATCATATATATAAATAGAGTTGCAACTGATTTTCGCGTATAAGAATGTTGATAAAGACTTGTACGCAGAATCTAACATTAACCTGTCCTTCAAGCTATGCGAGCGGACAGTCCTGTTTCCTCGGACAAAGTAATTACAGAATCAAGGAGCACGGAGAGTGAGACACTCGTCCGTATACAGTTAGTCATGCTCCCCTGGTTGTAACCGGTCACATCTTTGCATGGATACAGCTCGGTGGTGAATTGAAAGTCTGGAAGAAAGAGGCATGCGGAGGATGTCGCGCGCGATTTTCCCACTGGGTAATCCGGACTTAATAAAGATGCTGGAACAAAGGGTACGTCGCGACAAGAGCCACTCCTCTTTTCCGAACGACAAAAGGTTCATCTCGTTGACAACTCCGCATCGGTGTGACTTCATTTAGAGACCGGAAACGCGGCCCCGCACGTAATATGGGGAGGAAACACATGCGGAAGATCGTACAGGGACGCAGCTAGACATTTTCGGATATTTCCCCATGCGACAGGCATTCTTGAACTTTCAATATCATTTCTCGTGTGGCACACCCGAGATTTCTTTCATTTTGCTACACTATAATTTTTTTATATAATAATAAAGATACATATAATATGACGAACTGGATTGATGCTATTGAGTTTCTGAATTGGAAGGAGGATTAACACCAGACGAAGGTTGGAAAGATCAAATGTTACATAGAAAAAATTTTTCCGTAATAATGTTCGATTACGATTAACGATTAGTTTGTGTTACACTGAAGAAGGCTCTGTAAAGCCGAAACGTTTGTAGCGAAAAAATTTTTACTAATGTATTATACAAATTTAGTTGATAGATTAAATTAGAACTTAATATTATTGTATATCTTTTTAATTTATTAATTCCCCCCCCCCAGCTTTAATTTGCTCGCTGTTGGTCGTTTATTTAATGTTTGTTTTTTAATTGTTCGAGCGTTGATATTATTATTATTATACATATATTTGTTTGCTATTGTTATATTTTTCAATGTCTCATGTTAGGGGGAAGCTTTCTAACAAAGACTCTTAAAGTGCGTTATCATGTTGACGCTCGACGCTCATTCTTAGCGTCAAAATAGATCACGTGATCAAAATTGACGCTTAATATTCGTCAATTTTTATTACATGATTTATTTTGACGCTAAAAATGAGAGCGCCAAGCGTCAGCGTGAAATGGCACCTTTAATTCTAAAATTATTTAAATAATTTGTACATATGTCATTTTTTTTATGTTTGTCGATATTTAATAACTAAGTTAACAGTAAGCTACATGACTTGAATGTCCGCATTGGAATTGTTTTTAGCACACGGACGACATTTCTCACGTTCGTTTCCGCGAAATTGCGGTTTATTCTAGAAACAGCGGTAATCGCGCACCACTATACACGCGGAGCTGCGACAACGTTATTACGAACCTGGTTTTCGTAAATAAGATATGTCCACTTTGGCCGCGATAAATGCTCGTTTCGTATCACGCGAATTAACCACAGATTTGATTTAATAGAATTACAGTCGCGTTATATCGTGTGCCACTTCGTTTTAAGATAAAAAAATATATGAAATAAGTTCTCCTCTGGGTCGACGCTAACGCGTCAATGATAATACGTACCGTACGAAACAATTAGAACGTAATGCGCTTCGCGAACACGATCCCGGTTGCGCTGCAAAGTATGAAATTGCGCCGAAGCGTAAGAAAAAAACCCACTACATTTCGCGCATTATGTAATACCACTTCCGCATGCTGAATCTCGCCCCACTTCGTTTTCAGATCGGAAGGATGCGCAACGTGCCCAAGTATAAACGCGTTAATAATCCTACTGTTAACTGTTATTATTACCGCTGATCGATTGCGTGCAAACGTCTTTAACATTGAAAAAACAAAAATTTAAAATTAATGGAAGCCTTAGGCTAATTCTACAATGTACTTTTTGTCTCTTGCCTTCTTGAACAAAAAGGCAAGAGACAAACAGCAAGAAACAGGAAACAAAAAGCACATTGTAGAGTTAGCCTTTTATACTCTAGATAGGCAATTAAGAAAGCAAAAACGTAACGCAACTAAAAAAGCACTACAAATTTTTGTTACAATCCATTATTTTAGTGTTTCCGCAGTATTGGAAAGGAAGGCTTAAAAATACAAATTTAATAACGAAGGGACTTCACAGCATCGAAAAATAATTTTTAAAATGCAAAACACTAAAAGCACACACCGAACAGCGAATAAAGGAAGCGTTTCTTTCCCTGTATGTTCTACGTTTCGTTCCAGTTAGTTTCCAGACCAAGGAGATAATTGATTTAATGAATTCGCTTCTATCGCGCGTGCTGCTTTACATACTCTTCGTGAAAGCTCGTAAAAAAATTGGCCGTTTCCCGATTCGTGCAGTAACGTGCAACCGGAGTTCAACGACCGTCGCGTCGTACATATGAAGTTCTCCGAAGCAGGGACAACGGGTTTAATATACGTAACTTAACAAGCGTGATTCTTGTGAAATTTCTAATCTTTCTATTACGTCGTTTTATCCAAGGCTGTGTACTTTATCATAGTTCGTCACAGTTTTCTATTTTTTTATCCGTAGATCTTTATCTCTTTTATTTCACACGCCACTGCAATGCAATTTATTATCAATGATATCATGCCATCGAATAACAGCACTCAAGTCACGTAGCCATGGCAATCAACGTGCTAAATTGCGACCTTCGCACCTTCTTACCGCAATTTACACAAACTTTGTCTTTACAGTTTTCATAAAGTGAAAAATATATAACGCGTTATTATATCCTTAATTAATAATTAATCAAATTGCTTAAATGTAACAAGATTTGATGTATGAAAGTTTTGACATTCGGGTTTGTTACCACCAATTTGCGGATTGGACAACAAAACATTTGGTAAAAAGTAGGAGAAATGCGCGACAAGATACGTTCACTGGAGCATAAAGTAGAAATGCGTATTCGTTTCTTAATCATGCAGCATGATCTCCGGAAAGACTGCGATAAAAACTAATGCGACAACGCTGAGTGGAAACTCGTTTCTTCGCACTTGATTTATTTATTTTTTTTCAAAGATTAATCTGGTTTGAATTTAATACTTGAATTGTAACATTCAATGCTCGTATTTTTCAGGAAAAAAAAGCTAGAAATAAAATTATTCTTTAAAACTTCATGAAAAACCGATCTTAAAATCAAA